GTCGGAAGGAGAGGTGCAGGGTAGTAGTAGTAGTAGTAGTAGTAATAGTAGTAGTGAGAGGCAACTGAGAGGACATGTCCCTCTCAGATCCAACCCTTCTCACTTGAAAAGCTTGTTCATGGTGTTTTCTGTACCAAGATGCCTGACATGTCCTCTCAGTTGCCTCTCACTACTACTATTACTACTACTACTACTACTACTACCCTGCACCTCTCCTTCCGACAGTATTTAAGTCTCCGCACTGTCGCTTGATCTTCAGATAGTTCCTGACTATGGAACTGAACTTCTCCAGGCCGAGGGACTGACAACCTCAAATTCTACGACTTTAAGGGTGATGGACTGATTACATCGTCTTCACATCTCTTCTGTTCCTGCCTACTTTCTGTATTCGACTGAAGAAGCCTACTGTGTAGGCGAAACGTTTCGGAATAAAGTTGTCTAACTGTTGCATATGTGTCTTACCTAACAACCTGTCGGTATTATATACCATTTTGATGTTCATCTTGTCAGACACTGCAACACGTGGCATCTTGGTACAGAAAACACCATGAACAAGCTTTTCAAGTGAGAAGGGTTGGATCTGAGAGGGACATGTCCTCTCAGTTGCCTCTCACTACTACTATTACTACTACTACTACTACTACTACCCTGCACCTCTCCTTCCGACAGTATTTAAGTCTCCGCACTGTCGCTTGATCTTCAGATAGTTCCTGACTATGGAACTGAACTTCTCCAGGCCGAGGGACTGACAACCTCAAATTCTACGACTTTAAGGGTGATGGACTGATTACATCGTCTTCACATCTCTTCTGTTCCTGCCTACTTTCTGTATTCGACTGAAGAAGCCTACTGTGTAGGCGAAACGTTTCGGAATAAAGTTGTCTAACTGTTGCATATGTGTCTTACCTAACAACCTGTCGGTATTATATACCATTTTGATGTTCAAGTATGGGGTGCATAATAAACATATTAAACTAACTAACTAATGAGACTCAGTGATTATTATTGATTATTACAGTGGACCCCCGCATACCGTTGGCATCACATAGTGTTAAATCCGCATACCAATACATTTTATCGCTAAGATTTTGCCTCGCATACCGCTAAAAAACCCGCTCAACGCTATTCATCCAAGACGCGTCTAATGTGCGGCCTGTTCCGCAGGTGGCATTGTTTACCAGCCAGCCTCCGCAGTAACATCCAAGCATACAATCAGAACATTTCGTATTATTACAGCATTTTTGGCGATTTTATCTGCAAAATAAGTGACCATGCGCCCCAAGAAAGCTTCTAGTGCCAACCCTACAGGATTAAGGGTGAGAATTACTATAGAGATGAAGAAAGAGATCATTGCTAAGTATGAAAGTGGAGTACGTGTCTCCGAGCTGGCCAGGTTGTATAGTAAACCCCAATCAACCATCGCTACTATTGTGTCCAAGAAAACGGCAATCAAGGAAGCTGTTCTTGCCAAAGGTTCAACTGTGTTTTCGAAACAGAGATCGCAAGTGATAGAAGATGTTGAGAGACTCTTATTGGTGTGGATAAACGAAAAACAGATAGCAGGAGATAGCATCTCTCAAGCGATCATAAGTGAAAAGGCTAGGAAGTTGCATGAGGATTTAATTAAAAAAATGCCTGCAACTAGTGATGATGTGAGTGAATTTAAGGCCAGCAAAGGTTGGTTTGAGAGATTTAAGAAGCGTAGTGGCATCCATAGTGTGATAAGGCATGGTGAGGCTGCCAGTTCAGGCCACAAAGCAGCTGAAAAATATGTGCAGGAATTCAAGGAGTACATAGACAGTGAAGGACTGAAACCTGAACAAGTGTTTAATTGTGATGAAACAGGCCTGTTTTGGAAGAAAATGCCAAGCAGGACCTGCATTACTCAGGAGGAAAAGGCACTCCCAGGACATAAGCCTATGAAAGACAGGCTTACTCTGTTGATGTGTTCCAATGCTAGTGGTGATTGCAAAGTGAAGCCTTTATTAGTGTATCACTCTGAAACTCCCATAGCGTTCAGGCAAAAGAATATCCTCAAGGCTAATTTGTGTGTGCTGTGGAGGGCAAACAGTAAGGCATGGGTCACTAGGGACTTTTTCTATGACTGGTTACACCAAGCATTTGCCCCCAATGTGAAAGATTACCTAACTGAAAAGAAATTAGACCTTAAGTGCCTCCTGGTGTTAGACAATGCCCCTGGTCATCCTACAGACTTGGCAGAGCGACTTTGTGGGGACATGAGCTTCATTAAGGTCAAGTTTTTGCCTCCTAATACCACTCCTCTCCTGCAGCCCATGGACCAGCAGGTTATTGCAAACTTCAAAAAACTGTACACAAAAGCTCGTTTTGAAAGGTGCTTTGTAGTGACCTCAGAAACTCAATTGACTCTAAGAGAGTTTTGGAGAGAGCACTTTAATATCCTCAATTGTGTAAACCTTATAGGTAAGGCTTGGGAGGGAGTGACTAAGAGGACCTTGAACTCTGCTTGGAAGAAACTGTGGCCAGATTGTGTAGACCAAAGGGATTTTGAAGGGTTTGAGGCTAACCCTGGGAATCCTATGCCAGTTGAGGAATCCATTGTGGCATTGGGAAAGTCCTTGGGGTTGGAGGTTAGTGGGGATGATGTGGAAGAGTTGGTGGAGGAGGACAATGAAGAACTAACCACTGATGAGCTGCTAGATCATCTTCATCAGCATGAGGCCACACCTGAGGAAACTGCTTCGGAGGAGGGGAGAGAGAAATTGAAGAAGTTGCCTACTTCAAAGATTAAGGAAATCTGTGCAATGTGGCTTAAAGTGCAAACTTTCATGGATGAAAATCACCCTCAGACAGCTGTTGCAAGCCGTGCTGGTGACTATTACACTGACAATGTTGTGAACCACCTTAGGAAAGTCATAAAGGAACGAGAGGTACAGACCTCTATGGACAGATATGTTGTGTGACAGAAGTCCAGTGACTCTGAAGCTGTTCCTAGTGGCATTAAAAGAAGAAGGGAAGTAACCCCAGAAAAGGACTTGACACCTCAAGTCTTAATGGAAGGGGATTCCCCTTCTAAACACTAAGACTCTCTCCTTCTCCCATCCCATCAATCATCACCAGATCTTCAATAGAGGTAAGTGTCATGTAACTGTGCATGTCTTCTTCAGTTTGTGTGTATTAAAATTAATATTTCATGTGGTAAAAAAAAAAAATTTTCATACTTTTGGGTGTCAGGAACGGATTAATTTGATTTCCATTATTTCTTATGGGGAAAATTAATTCGCATAATGATAATTTCGCATAACATTGAGCTCTCAGGAACGGATTAATATCGTTATGCGGGGGTCCACTGTATTATCATTACTAATATGGCATTTTGAGGCATAAGACACTTTTACTGATTTTAGTGTGTACCTGCGTGCCAGGACAGTGTGTAAGTTTATTTAGGTACAGGTCTTAATTTCATCTTGTTGGTATTATATACCATTCTTGTACTACTACTACTACTACCACCACCTCTTCCTGCCTATATATAGCCCTCCTGCTCCACTTCTGTTTAGTGTGACTTTGTAAATGGTCCAAGTCAGACCGAAATGTCGTCGTAAGCTTCTCTCTTTTATGTGCAGGTTATTTGTGTATAAGTATAATTATCAGAGTATATGTAAAATATGAAATAACTTTTAAAAACACTTGAAATTTTGGAGTTTCCAGACATAATAGAGAGACTTGGTGTTTACGGAGCTCACGGAGAATGTAAACAAACCGGGTGGGGCGTGGTGGTCATATTAGAAAGTCAAGTGGGGGAGCCGTATAGCGAGTTTTGGTCATAATTTGAAATGTCCATATTAGTGAAATGCTGTAAAGCAGGGTCCTTCAGTACAGTGGAACCTCGGTATATGACCAGCTCCCTACTCGGACAAAGCTCAGCACTCGACCAAACAAATACAACCTGCCAGAACTACGCTGTAAACTATTTCATGTTTATTTGCATTTTTTATGGTATTATGTATTTGTATAAATAAGTCACCATGGGTCCTACGAAGATTAGTGATAACAGCCAACTAAACAGAAAATTGGTTGGGAAGAACTTGTTTGATACTCAAATGGAGTGGTACTTGAACTGCCTTCGAGTACCGCAAGTGGCAGGACTCCGTGTTGCTGTCAGGTTAGCATCCAGCACCATCTTCATGGTCTTATATCTTGGTAAGTACTGGTTCTATTTTTTTTTTTTTTGGTCTTATAACACACAGAAAATTGCCCTCTTTAATTAAAAAAAAATGTTTTTTTTTTTTTTCAAAATATTTGGAGCACTGCACGAGGGAATGTAGATCTACGTTTGGACAGTTTAAGGGTTAAGAATTCCAGTAGAAATAAATTACACTGGCCCTACAGTATTGTATTAACCTAAGTGAAAATCTGCTTAACGTACAGTACAGTACAAGCACCTAAAGTTGGTACCTGACCAGCCGGGCTGTGATTCGTACGTTGGATTGCGTGCAGCCAGCAGTAACAGCCTGGTTGATCAGGCCCTGATCCACCATGACGCCTGGTCACAGACCGGGCCGCGGGGGCGTTGACCCCCAGAACTCTCTATAGGTAAACTCCAGGTGCCATTAATGTATGCCTTCAACATTTATGTGCCCTCAGGACCATTGTACAAACTGTTTTCTATGAAATCACTTATATTATTATTAAAATCAGCACTAAGTGCTAAGCCCACCAGGATCATACAGTGCTGAAAATCACTTGGAGAGTTCCTGAGTAAGACTCCTTTTACCATGGTTGTTTAAAAACATTGATAAATATATTTGTCTTATAATATTGTACTTTATGAAGCTGTTGATTATTGTGCTTCCATTAGTTTTATTTACAAAAAGAAAATTCATTTGTCTTTACTATTACATTTTTTCTTGAGAATGTATAATGTACATGTGAAAAATAAGCCACACCCAACACATACTGTGTGAATGCAAGATAGATTTACTTCCTATTTGTACTCACCTAAATATTGCTCTTTACAGATCCACAGATTGATGGTTAGTGATTCCCCCCGGACTAAAGCATATGCTGATCAACAACAACAAGCACTTGTTTAATGACAAGATTGTCATGGATGTTGGAGCAGGCACAGGTGACGTACACTAAATTGTATAGCCCTGCAGGGCAAAAAATTAAGGACCATATGATGGTTTGGTCATTTAGAGAGAATGGAACAATGTAGAATGACTTGGAGAGCATATAAATCTTTAGGGAAGAAAGGCGGGGTAGGGGTTGTCCTTGAAAAGGTTGGAGGGGGGGGGCAAAGGAAGTTTAGTGGGCGAGGGGCTTGGACTTCCAGTGTGTGTGAGCATATTAGATAGGAGTGATTAGAGATGAATGGTTTTTGGGACCTGATGAACTGTTGGAGTGTGAGCAGGGTTATATTTTGTGAGAGGATTCAGGGAAACTGGTTAGCCAGACTTGAGTCCTGGAAATGGGAAGTACAATGCCTGCACTTTAAAGGAGGGGTTTGGGATATTGGTTGGTTTTTTGTGCTTCATTTACTTAAATACAGTACTGCTGATTTTACAGTGGAACCTCGGTACTTGAACTTAATTTGTTCCAGAAGTCTGTTCAAGTGCCAATCTGTTCGAGTACAAATCGAATTTTTCCCAACCAATTTTCGTTTTGGTTGGCTGTTATCACTAGCCCTCTTAAGCCCCATGGTGACTTGTTTATATAAATATAAAAAATGCAAAGAAACACGAAATAGTTTATGAAGCTCTGGCAGGTTGTTTGTTTGGTTGAGTGCCAAGCAAACAGTTGACTACCAAGCAACTTGTTTACCTAACAGCGCATTCAAATACCAAATTATTCGAGTATGGAGCTGTTCCCATATGGAGCTGTTCAAGTACTGAGGTTGCCCTGTATCTTGCTGGGTTTACTGCTCTGTAAGATTAAAAATTTCTTGACTGTAAACAGTAAAGCCCTGTTGGATCTTGTTGCAGTGTCCCATTTGGTTTACAGGAGGGCTCTGTTTATACAGCTCTAAATATGGTGCTGGTCGTCCTTCCCTTATGCAACTGATGTTCGAAAATGGCGATAATGGCTTTGGAGTGGTAAAAGCACCAAACATAATGAAGAATGGCTCAATTGAAAGTGTGGAACACTGAAAATTGGTTTTTGTTGGCTTTTAATTGACCCATTTTTCATTATGCTCTGTGCTTTTACTGCTGCAACACAGTTATAACCATTCTCACACAACAGTTGCATAAGGGAAGGATGACCAGCACCATATTTAGAGTTTTTTTTAACCCCCATAATGCTACATTACTTTTTCATGTGGGAAGGACGGGGTGTGAGGATTGCAATGAGGTACTTTCTTCCACATGTCCAATCTGGGATTAACCCGTAAACGGTCCAAGCAGATCTACGTTCACATGTGTAGTGCTACAAAAGTAGATCTACGTTTTTTTTACATATTTTCGAATGTAACAAAAAAAAGTAGATCAAAGTTTTTTACACATTTTCAAATGTAAAAAATAAAAAAGAAGATCTACTTTTTTTACATACTTTCAAATGTTGAAAAAACGTATATATACATTTGGACCGTTTACGGGTTAAGAGCCAAGAATTTTTTTAGAAATATTTTCCCCAGTCAAAATTTTTCTCTGGAGGGATAAGAGATGATATGGTTCATAGCATAAGCACCAGTGACAATGCCATGATGGCTGTCATGCTACCTGGAGTTTACCTGGAGAGAGTTCCGGGGGTCAATGCCCCCGCGGCCCGGTCTGTGACCAGGCCTCCTGGTGGATCAGAGCCTGATCAACCAGGCTGTTACTGCTGGCTGCATGCAAACCAATGTACAAGCCACAGCCCGGCTGATCAGGAACCAACTTTAGGTGCTTGTCCAGTGCCAGCTTGAAGACTGCCAGGGGTCTGTTGGTAATCCCCCTTATGTATGCTGGGAGGCAGTTGAACAGTCTCGGGCCCCTGACACTTATTGTATGGTCTCTTAACGTGCTAGTGACACCCCTGCTTTTCATTGGGGGGATGTTGCATCGTCTGCCAAGTCTTTTGCTTTCGTAGTGAGTGATTTTTGTGTGCAAGTTCGGTACTAGTCCCTCTAGGATTTTCCAGGTATATATAATCATGTATCTCTCCCGCCTGCGTTCCAAGGAATACAGGTTTAGGAACCTCAAGCGCTCCCAGTAATTGAGGTGTTTTATCTCCATTATGCGTACCATGAAGGTTCTCTGTACATTTTCTAGGTCAGCAATTTCACCTGCCTTGAAAGGTGCTGTTAGTGTGCAGCAATATTCCAGCCTAGATAGAACAAGTGACCTGAAGAGTGTCATCATGGGCTTGGCCTCCCTAGTTTTGAAGGTTCTCATTATCCATCCTGTCATTTTTCTAGCAGATGCGATTGATACAATGTTATGGTCCTTGAAGGTGAGATCCTCTGACATGATCACTCCCAGGTCTTTGACGTTGGTGTTTCGCTCTATTTTGTGGCCAGAATTTATTTTGTACTCTGATGAAGATTTAATTTCCTCGTGATTTACCATATCTGAGTAATTGAAATTTCTCATCGTTGAACTTCATATTGTTTTCTGCAGCCCACTGAAAGATTTGGTTGATGTCCGCCTGGAGCCTTGCAGTGTCTGCAATGGAAGACACTGTCATGCAGATTCGGGTGTCATCTGCAAAGGAAGACACAGTGCTGTGGCTGACATCCTTGTCTATGTTGGATATGAGGATGAGGAACAAGATGGGAGCGAGTACTGTGCCTTGTGGAACAGAACTTTTCACCGTAGCTGCCTCGGACTTTACTCTGTTGAGACTACTCTCTGTGTTCTGTTAGTGAGGAATTATAGATCCATCGACCGACTTTTCTTGTTATTCCTTTAGCACGCATTTTGTGCACTATTACGCCATGGTCACACTTGTCGAAGGCTTTTGCAAAGTCTGTATATATTACATCTGCATTCTTTTTGTCTTCTAGTGCATCTAGGACCTTGTCGTAGTGATCCAATAGTTGAGACAGACAGGAGCGACCTGTTCTAAACCCATGTTGCCCTGGGTTGTGTAACTGATGGGTTTCTAGATGGGTGGTGATCTTGCTTCTTAGGACCCTTTCAAAGATTTTTATAATAAGGGATGTTAGTGCTATCGGTCTGTAGTTCTTTGCTGTTGCTTTACTGCCCCCTTTGTGGAGTGGGGCTATGTCTGTTGTTTTTAGTAACTGTGGGATGACCCCCGTGTCCATGCTCCCTCTCCGTAGGATGGAAAAGGCTCGTGATAGGGGCTTCTTGCAGTTCTTGATAAACACAGAGTTCCATGAGTCTGGCCCTGGGGCAGAGTGCATGGGCATGTCCTTTTTCGCCTGTTCGAAGTCATTTGGCGTCAGGATAACATCGGATAGGCTTGTGTTAACCAAATTCTGTGGCTCTCTCATAAAAAATTCATTTTGATCTTCGACTCTCAGTCTGGTTAGCGGCTTGCTAAAAACTGAGTCATATTGGGACTTGAGTAGCTCACTCATTTCCTTGCTGTCATCTGTGTAGGACCCATCTTGTTTAAGTAGGGCCCCAATACTGTACGTTGTTCTCGACTTTGATTTGGCATAGGAGAAGAAATACTTTGGGTTTCTTTCGATTTCATTTATGGCTTTTAGTTCTTCCCACGATTCCTGACTCCTATAAGATTCCTTTAGCTTAAGTTCGATGCTTGCTATTTCTCTGACCAGTGTCTCCCTACGCATTTCAGATATATTGACCTCTTTTAGCCGCTCTGTTATTCTTTTCCGTCGCCTGTAAAGGGAGCGCCTGTCTCTTTCTATTTTACATCTACTCCTTCTTTTTCTTAGAGGAATAAGCCTTGTGCATACATCGAGTGCCACCAAGTTAATCTGTTCTAGGCATAAGTTGGGGTCTGTGCTACCCAATACAAATTAAATAATTTTTTCAGAAATACTAGTAGAGGTTGCCTGTTAATCCAGGAGTGGCAACTCAGTGTATGCAACTCCTGGCATTCATTCTGGGTCATTCTCAACCATATATGGTTCAGTGATAGTATCAGTGATGCTTTCAGTCTAAACAAAATGTCTAGATTGCCATAATGTCTAAAATTGGCAGATATTCTTGTGTTCTGACTATGTTACAAGTGTGACAGTTCAGCAGTTTTGACAAATGTTAAGGCATTAAGCCAAATAATGGCTAAACAAGTTCCTAAAGTATAATTTTTCATATTGCAGCAATTTCACCCAGTATGAGACTGATAAAATTCCATCAGTTATCTCTGAATATAAATTGGAAATGGCTAAAATACTGTTATAGATATTTTGTTAATGTAGTGGTACAGGTCCACATCCCTTTATCTGAAATTCTGAAATTTGAAAAGTTCCAAAAACCTAAGTTTTTTGTGGAGTGTGGAGCATCAGTCTTCCCTACATAACTCCAATGCCGCCACGTGGCGGTGTGACCCAGCACTGGCAGCCAAAGTGGCAGGCGTCAGTTGTGTCTCAGCGCTTGTAATGTTCACACGTGCATCTGCTGTTTGCTGATATTTTGTTTTTGCTTTTTTATTTTGTGACTGTGTTTAACCCTTTGACACAAAATTTTTGGAAAAAAAATTATTTTTTCTTATGAAATGATAGAGAATCTTTTCCCGATGCTAATGACACCAAAAGTACGAAATTTGATAGAAAACTTACGGAATTACGCTCCAGCGATCTTGGCGATTTATAGCATCGGTGATTTCTCCAACTTTGAGCCTTATTTTTGGCTAATTCTATTGTTCCGGTGAATCAAAATCATAGCTATTTCTTTAGAACTCCATCTTTTCTATCAATTGAGCACAAGAAACTGCCCATTTTCTGATTTCAACTACCCAATAAAGTGGTCAGAAATTGGTAATTTGGCCAATTTCACGCAAATTAAAAAAGATGCCAATTTCAAAATAGGGTCCAGAATAAACAATTCAGACATTCTTGGCACTAAAATAACATATCCTCTGTTCATTAGTCACATCTCCAGGCCCCCCTTGTATTACTCTTGCTTTCTATTTTGATTTTTTATTCACACAAAAAAACAGAAGATTTACTGTTATGCAGACTACTGCATTATTGTAAAAATGGTATAAATAACA